AACGTTTGAGCCTATAGAAAGTTTGTTAAAAAAACTTGCAACATTGTGTTGACAGCGAAAAAGGAGAGTAGGCCACTAAAGTTTTCAGATGAGTAAGTTTATTTGTAAAACACGAGTTTTAGTTTTATTTATAAAATTATTATTAACACGGACCAATTAATTTGTTTAGGAAATATAGATGACTAGGGGACTTAACAGGCATGTAGTAACAAGTTAAATAGTTGAATATTGAACTGAGATACGCTTGCAACTTAAACTTATAAGATTGCTTGTGTGCTTATATTAAAAAATAATAACTCTAGTTGTAATGGAAAGTACACCGTAATGCTTTGACCGAATACCCGTTATAAGGAAAACTGTTGACGCGTATTTTTATTCTGATTTGGAAATAATCTAATACAATTATGACTCAGTTGTAGTCGGATGTAACTTGGACTTTGCACTCTGGTTGTGTTGTTACGTCTAAATAACAAAGTACATACTTAGTTCCTTTCTACATCTATAATCTCTAGTCTTCGATTTAACAAGTGAAGGAAAATATCGTGAAGAAATGAGTCGAAGTAGGTTCATTGAAATCTCGTTATTTTTGTTTTCATGAATATTATAATGAAAGGATACGCAATGCCAACAAAGTATTTAGATAGCCATTCGAGCAAAACTCTTGCATTTTTGTTCACAAACTTTCGCCAAGCTCTCGATGGAAACACGCAAAGATGCAATAAAGCTGGTCGCATCTAGTCATAACCATTGCTAGTTGGTTATTCTAGAGTGATTTGTACAGAATTATAAGTTCAGAATTTATAAGACAGTGGAAGCAAGTATGTGGGAGCACCTTAATGACCTTAGGAACATGTAATTATAACCCCCGTTTTATATCCAACACCCTCGACCTACATTTGTTAACATCGATTGTTAGTTCACTCGTTAATCTGATATAACAATTTGTCCCACTAAAACGATAAGGATACCATGCTGGACAAAATACATTGACATATTTTCTAATAGCGAAATTTCATTCAAACTTTAGGCAGATCGAGTCGATTGTAAATATTTTTGAAACAGGGTGCAGAACTCGAGCAGGTACACAAAGGTAAAAGACTATCAAGATATCCGTTCTCACTACGCAGAATGCTGTCTCAAAATTCCAACATCTTAAAACGTTAACTAAGCAAAGTGATGACTGTTGTTTATATTACTTATAAACTTGTGTGTGACTGTGTTATATTAAGTTTACACTTAATATAAACAACAGCCATCATCGGATGTAGTACGTCTGCCGCACTACTGGGCACGGGTCTCCTCTAAGAAAACTGAGTAGGCATTAGTCCGCCACGCTTCCAAGAGTTGTAATCTCAGATTTCATTACGATGTTTTCCTGCACCGCTAACAAGGTGTAGCTACTAAACAACCATTCTATTTCCCAGGTTATGAACCTTCACCGACATGGGACCCCATCACGACTGTGCCACCATCCGCATCCGCGGATAATCGGCATAAATTAAAATATCCGCATCTACATCCGCAGCTCTGCTATTGGTTTTAAAATATAACTTTGATAAAATTGCACAACGACTAAGCCAGGAAGGTTGACAGTTTTCGTGCAGATTGATTCTTTTGTTAATAAATGTCACAAAATCATTGAAATATATTTAATTGTAATACCAAAGAAAATAGAAAGGTTTTTCATGTAGATAAATTCAGTAAGCATGTAAACTTTTCGCGTGTTTTTTTTAAATAAAATTTGCATCAGCATCCGCTGATGTTTAAACAACCTGCATCATCAACAATTGTAATTCATAGTATCATTAATTAGTTCACAAGTGCCACACGTTGGCGTTGCGTAATTATTACATTTTGTCATATTAATTATTTCTTCGAATATTCGTAGTGGGCAGTATCGGGACCGTATCGCACCGTGATCCCCGTTTTGAGGCCACCCGAATATCGCAACCTGATATGAAGCGGCACGTGACTTTTTGAAAACAGGTGAATTCCCAACCGACGTAGCTATTATACATATGTATATCGCACATTGAAATCCATATCGCTAAACAAAAAGTCAACTTTAAATGGGTCTTAAATTTTCTGAAAATAAGGAAAATAAGTTTAAATATAATTTTACCATATTTTCGGTTAGTGACGATATTGATTTCTGCGTACGATGTTTACACCTACATGTCTTTATAATCTTCACAAAAATATGTTTATAAATTGCTTCTTGTATGGGTTTCCCAACGACATGATTTATATATTTTTTATACAATTTGCAAGTACACAAATAATGACGACTTAGAGGCGCGTGTCGGAGATTAAGCCACACTCTTTTCGATTGTAAGACGTTTTTGTCATTTTTATAGCACAGAATCAATATAACAAAACAAAGCTTTTTTTATGACATCCAACAAAAAAAACCTATAGCACCATGTGTGTGTGTGTGTGTGTACATAACAGTTGCAGTGCCACTCAGAGCTTTAAATCGCAAAGATCTGAATGGCACTAACACTGCGCCCGTCATCTTGAGACATAAGTTGACAAGTCCCATGTGCCTGTAATTTCACCAGTCTGGTAGCATTCAACACGCCTACTCACATAACAGCTGCGTTGGCACTGAAAATTTTAAATCGCAAAGATCTGATGGGCGCTGCCACTGCAACCCTCACCCTGAGACGTAAAATTGACAAGTTTCATGTGAAAGCAAATAGTTAATTTGTATTATTATTAATACATGTTTAAAGTTTATTCTACCAATAATAATAAACAATATTAACTATTCAATTCATAAAAAGAATTCTACTTGATTTCAACATTTAACAACTATTGTTCTTAGGTACTCTGTTATTTTTTTCAATAATGCTTTGTGAAATTATATTTCTTGTGATAATTAAATAAAATAAAAATATATAATTAAATTAATGTAACATTAACACAGATGAGTGCGAAATTAGTTACTATACAAAACTGTGAAACGCGTTTTATGAAAAAATATATTTCCAGTTTACAAATGCGTGTAATAAATAACTAATAAATAAGCTATGATCATTTAAAAGTAATTATAACACTATTTCGCAGTCGCTTGCTATATTAATTACCGCAACAATTAAAAATATTATGTTGCACAAGAAATTGCTACGTTTTTCTCTCGCTAAGCATTGTCAGGTTACTTGAAAATTTTTATCTAAAAAAATCTGTTATTATAGTTTCATCATATATACTCGTATGTCAGTAAGTACGTTATAAAGGAGCAGTGGTCTTTGACTCGCTGATGCATTAAAAAAAAAGAAAATAAGTGTACGTTTGACTTCCATGTCCCCCGTTGGAAGGTGACGATGATGAATATTCCTATAATGTCTACTCATTTTCGCCTTGAAAAGGCGTTTAGGGACTAAGGGTCGTATTCTACAACTCTACTCAATGCCAAGTCAGGATTTGAGTATGATTCAGAAAGCACTCGAAATCATACTCAAGGCCCTGCCATTTCCAGTGCTTGTGTTTCCAGTGCAATCCTGATTTGAGCATTGAGTAGAGTTCTAGAATACGACCCTAAGTCTGCAGACAGGGAATTCCATACACCGTATCGCCGTACACCGTATAAATATGGAAACGTAATTAATTAAGCGTACAATATTTATAAAGGAACACATATGTTAGTATAATAATTTTTTTGTTCATAATGTATGAAACAATTTTTTTTTAAATTGCTACGCTTGTTCTCTGATACACCTGTACTATAAAACCTATCAATAATGTCGGTAAGATGAAATTTAAATTTTCTTTGTTGTCCATCAAAAAGAGTTGTCCAGCAACATAAGTAACAGGTACTTATAATAAATTACTTTATAATCATATTAGTTATAAGCGTAGTTACCTAATCATGGTCGTATACATATGAGAGAAAGTGACGAGAGGAAACGTGATGAAAGTTCATAAAATCGCACAGCTTTCTTTGTAATTATAAAATTATATACTCGTATAAAGCCTTAGTCGTACCTTAACTATAACAATAACAACGCATACTATCTTAGCCCCGCACCAGGCAAACCCTGTATCGCGGGTGCCATGGACACACACATCAAATTACACGCAAATTATGAGAGAAATAAATGTAGGGAACACAAATATTTCTCCCGGCCCAGGAATCGAACCCGCGACCTCTGCGTAACAGTCCAGCATGGTAACGGTTCGCCACCGAAGTAATAACTAGTCTCACAAACTGTTAAATAAAATAAAAGAAGAGAAAAGAATGCATTCCTCTTGCAATTAAAATCTCTGTCTGCTGCACGTACAAACAAAGGAATATTCCAATTCAACTTCGTTAGGTTTTCAGTTTAGTAGCAGAGCGCCTTGTGGAAGAGCCCACGACTTGTTCGTCCCGCCACTTGATAAGAAAAAAATAAAATAACGTCTAAGAGCCACCATACCTACTTCTGCCGCCAAGTATTAAGATGAGCACACCGAGTTCCTTCCTGTTTTGAAGGGTAACGGTGAAACTACATGGGATTTGTCAACTAAATGTGACTCAGGGTGACGGGTGCCGTGGCACTGACCTGCAGATTTTTGCAATTAAAACTCCTAGTGACACTGCGATTGTTATGGATAGACGAGTCATTTACTACCAGGCCGCACGACTTGTTCATCCCTTCAGTTGATATCATTAAAAAAAAACCATCACGTGCAGATCAAAAACAATAAAAAGTTAATTATATTTTGGCAAACTTGAAAATGTTCCAATGAAAAATGTGTGACGAAACCGTCATTTGTTCAAGGTTGATATACTCGTAGATTTCAAATCGCGGGTGTAATAGAATTTAGCTAATGAGAGTTTGAGTCGAGGCGAGAGAACTTTGTATGAGGTACCTTCAAGATCCATTCCCAAATCGCGTCGTAAGATTCCATATCCATTTTGCAAAGTTTAGGAGAGGGTACGGACCAGATGCAGCAAGTGCAACAACTGGCAACTGACATGCGCAGCTGACCGGCTATCAAATATAGAATGCATTTACCTTTGCCAAACACCGACGAAACACCACCAGGAAATCCTCGAAGACATCGCCGGTAACTCCTGTGATTTCTTCCATTTCCAGAGACATAGTATCAAATTTATAAAAGTAAATATGACTATAAATTAAACTAAGATCACAGTTTGATTTGCTCTTTGGAACTATAGTAATCAGATCGCGGTAATACTTTATGCTAATTCGAGTGTGTGCGCGCGTAGCACGAGACGCGTCTAAGCACGTTCACAGTTGATATCACACTGGTATGTTCGGGCCGCTGTCGAATGACTGAGCGTGTCGTCATCGTCAGCGCGCACGCCGAAGAAACCAGAGCGAGATTGTGTTTGCCTGACTAAAGGCTCATTTAGATGGAGAGCGTTTCTCTTCTCGAAGATACGATTATTGAAAGAATATAAAAAACTTTCCTCGTCTAAACATTCGGGATTATCGCCCTTCCACGTATAGTATACTTCCACTTCCAGCGATAATCGCCTTTGAATATTGAACTTGTCCGTGTAAACAGAACTTGAAAGGAAAAATCGTATTTCGAGTTTTTATGCCAGCTGTTTCTACCATGAGTGCAGTGCGCGAGGGTGTTTTGATTAATACTGCTTTTCTAAGACAAGAATTAAGGAAACGAAAAGAAAAAAAATTGAGTTAACAAATGTTACAAAATTAAAAAAAATATATAAAAAAATGTATATTTCTATACAGTGTAATGAACTTAATATTATCAGCAGTTCCAAGCGTCATTTTGTTATATTCATAGTCAATATCGAAGTAATCATTGAACTTGAATGGCAATTCTCGTACTCAAAATGGTTCAAACCGATTTGCACGATAAACGAACTTGAAAAAATGTCATACGAGATCGTGTTTAGACAAGTCGAAAACTCGTAAGCAAGACTCTCCTTACTACATATTTCTCTGTGTAAACAGTCGAGGAGGCGATTAAGTTGCTTGTGAATCTCGTATGACATAATCGTAGGCGAGATTTTAGTTTTTGCCTGAATGTAAACATTATGTTATCGTATATAACCTTATGGCGATTATTGCTTACGATAATCGCATACGATTTTTCGTCACGAAACATGCGATTAACTCTCTCCATCTAAATGGACTTTATAAAGGAGCTTTTCCACCGGTGAGGCGAAACTCGCGCCGCGGTGGTGGATAGATGGTGGGCGTTTAAAAGAAAAGCACCTAGAAAGGTTTGCCTTTAAAATAAGCACGCTTTTCAATTTAAGCGTAAGCGTTAACTACGTGCTTATGATTCAAGTCCCGCCATCTAAGTTTCCTAAATAAATAAATTTGTCAATGTGAGTAATAATTTTATAAATAAAAATAAAACACGTGTTTTACAAAAAACTTATTTGTCTTAAAACCTGTAGTGGTCTACTCTCGCGTTTCGCTATCAACACAACGTTGCAAGCTTTTTTTAACATAAAAGTCTATGCGCTTAAACGCTTTTCCAAACGATTTTGTAAGCTTTAAACTAAAAAGCGTTTAAATGAAAAGCGTTTGAAAAACACGCTTTTTTTAAAACAAAAAGCGCTAATTAAAAGAAAAATATTTAAATTATTGCCTCGCCGATCCTCGCTAATCCAGACCATTTTCATCGAAGAGGCGCTAGGAGAATGTTACAATTCTGCCATACAAATTTCAAACTTCGTCTCGTCTCGCCCCGCCAGTGGAAAAGCACCTTAAGGGTCGTATTCTAGAACTCTATTCAATGTTCAAGTCAGGATTGCACTGACAACACAAGCACTGGAAATAAGACCCTAATGGCAGGGACTTGAGTATGATTTCGAGTGCTTTAAACCATACTCAAGTCTTGATTTGAGCATTGAGTAGAGTTCTGGAATATGACCCTAAGACTGCTTTTACCCAGGACAACAGTGATAACAAACGTTTCTGTAATTTCTATTTTCAACTACAAAATCAGCAACAATAGTACCCGAAAAGCGTACATTGGTCGCGGCAGCAACAGCTGATATTAAGTCGACCTACAAGTTCACCAGGGGCTCGCCCCGCGATCTGTGATACACAGTATATGTACATAAACTTAAAGTAGACACGGCCTAGGCGTTAGCAACAGTCAGTATTGGTGTTGATGTAATACGAACTACTAACTAGGCGACTTTAAGACGATCCAAATACGAGAAAAGTCATTAGATAATTTAGAAAAAATAGAATAAGTATACTACGAAATCAACTTGTTGTTGAAAGAAATGTTATACATATATTATGTACATTTTCCTAACATTCAATGTGTCTGACTCGATATTATTCGTTTACCACGTCTGACTAGCAGCATTAGGTCATAAAATTCAGTGGTTTACCACAAACTTTTTTCTTTTTTTTTATGATACCGAGTGGCGGGACGAACAAGTCGTGCGTCTGGTGGTAAGCCATACGCCTATCCATAACAGTTGTACTGCCATTCAGAGCTTTAAATAGCAAAGATCTTATGAGCACTGCCACTGCGCCCGTCACATTGATACATTAGTTGACAAGTCCCATGTGCGTGTAATTTCACCAGCACCATTACCCTTCTAAACCGGAACGCAGTAATGCTCACAAGTAAAGGTGGCAGTACTTCCCTGGACGAACTCTTCAACGAACTTTTAGAATACAAAAGACATCTGCTTATACAAAGGAACAATACCAAAAAAGTGAAAAGGACGACGACAATTAATAAAAAATAACATAACAATATGTAATACGACACCGCTGCTTGGATTTGTGAGGTTTAATTCATGACGTGGATAGTACGCGCCGGTTACAATCCCATGATCGGACATAACAATCTACGTCACTGAAGACACAATATAACGATACCAAATGTCGTACTACAAAATGTTTGTCTACTCGTATCGTAAATTAACAGTGTTCAGGCAGTAAACATCATAAAAAGCGCGATAACTACACACTACGTTCTTACTGGTCAACTTTACATTAAAATAAAAAAATGTTTGCGACCTCGGCAGCATAACGAGAGTTATGACTTGTTCGAACTGCAGAACTTTTTTTAAATTTCATTTCATGTTCGTAATGAATTTTTTCGAATCTAAATCGCGTATTTGTTTATTTTTAACCGACTTCAAATAAAAGGAGGAGGTTATACGTTTGATACTTACGTATGATATTTTATGTATATTTTCAGATATCTCCGTCAATTGTGGACCGATTTTGAAAATTCTTTTTTGTTTAAAAGGGCGCGCTCTCGTGGTGGTCCCATTGACACCAAGTCAGAATTTAAAGAGGGGATCCCATGAAAACCGAAGGAAATCCTCAAATTTTATAGGCATGTTCGTGTATTCACCAATTTCTCCATTGATTGGGCACCGATTTTGAAAATTCTTTTTTTATTTAAAAGGGTGTACTCTCGAGGTTGTCTCTGATGCTGTTCCGGGTTCATTTCGGCTATCACAAATTACTATTACACACACGTACACAATACATGTAATCAACAAATCACCGTCACCATGACAGCTAGAAAAGAAAATATAAAATGTGCAAAACACTCCCGTTGTCACCAAGAAGTCACAATCAGATGAGGCGATCCCATGGAAATAAAAAAGCCGATAAGCACTGTTGAGGTCGGTTTTTTCTTTTCAATGAAAAAGTTACAATTATTAAACAGCAACGTTTCGGTCTTTTTAAAGGTGATAATCAGCATTGAAATGTTGGTTTGTTTGAAAAAATATACACACGCGATTTAGACCTGAAAATATACTTTCATTACCTATAGCAACAATCGCGAAAACCTAAGAATTCCGTAACATGATGAAAATTGACGCTACTAACAGAGAACAAATCGAGATTCTTCTTGTAAAGCAGACAGATTAATAAAATATGACCAGAGTTTGAGTAGAGCATTTAGTCTAACGTAAATTTGATGCCATTGAATTAAATAATTAATCATATACTTTGCAAATTAAAGTATCAATGTAGCTATGTAGTTACATCTATAAAAATAAATCTGTTGTGCAATACTATACAATGTAAAACAGGAATCTATAGTTTGGCAGCTACGCAAAATGACAAGGTTTCTGTCTCCAAGAGATGTAAACGCTTTTAGTTGTTTCGCAACTTCGTGATTAATGCTGAATTGCTGAAGGACTTTGCATCTGGAAGCGGAATCAGGAAGCAATAAAGAATTCCAGTTATAATGTACAATTTTTCTTGGTTGAAAGTATACTCGTAGTAGTACTTATAAGAAATTAATTGCGTCGGGTAAGTACAGGGTTAAGAGCACGTCAAGCTTCATCAGAACGGTCCAAAGTACAAAGTGTCAAGCTTGACGTGCTCTTTACTGTACAAAGTTACTTAATCAGCATGAATAAATGAGAATAAATAAATGAGCGAACACAAACAAGCTGCAATAATTTTAACCGATTTGCGTGAGACTGATGGTAAGCTACACGCCTTTTTTTTTCGTCTCCAACAGTTACAATGCCACTCAGCTCTTTAAATCGCAAAGATCTGCGGCGCACCACTACTGCGCCCGTCACCCTGAGACAAGTTGACAAGTCCCATGTGCCTGTAATTCCACCAATATATGTAATTCCACAAACTTTTGAAATCGGTTTTACTCTCGTAACAATGTATTCTATATGAACACATTTTGAGCTTGATGCCTTACACACATTAGCAATAAAAGCGGAAAAATGTTTTTCAGCAAAACAACCATTAGCACTTCACTATTTTGGCGAATCGGCACAAAGCTGTCAAAGACGTCGTCGTCGCTGCAGATTATCATGACCAAACTACACAAACATTTCTTTCACGAAACGCACACACACACACATAAGAGCATGTTGACCTATTTGTTGTCACAACATTTCTTGAATAAATTCTCATGAAAAACTGGCACGGGCTATCATCTGAGGACAGTACTCGTTATGTCTGTTATGTGAAATACAAAGAAGCAATGTTTTTCAACAATTGTGTGTAATTTGTCTTGAGACTTTCTGCCTTTTTGTGGAAATTTGCTCTTAGTTGACGGACTGATTGTCACAAACTTGTTTTCTCAGGGCCGACAAAGCAAGCAAAATAAAAGATGTTCACGACGGAAGACGTCCTGTGCATGTTGTAAGTTTTACGGTAACCCAAGAGGATTGTGATATAACCAAAAACTTATTTTTAACATGTTATTGACATAATATTTATCACAGCAACTATCTCTTTCGTACGATTTTCATATTGACTTCGTTCTGTCACGTTTAATAACATACATAGAGATGTAAGGACTGAAATCGATATC